AAGGTCAGTAAGTAAATATATTCTCCTCAAATACAAAGTTTTAGAGGCAAGAACATTTCAGTCTATAAACAAGTTAGAATATACATTGGCAGTAAAAAGCTCACACCTTGTTGTTAATTATACTATAATAACAGACTGTATATATAAATAGATAATACATAGCTTACTCGCTAACCTCTAAGTTCCAAATAGGAATTCATGAGGGCACTTCTGACTCCACCAACTCTGCCTCCAACTGACTTAACATTGGAATATTGTCATTCCTCCCATCTGTAACTGCTGCAGTGAGCATCATTATGTTGGTCATAAAATGTTCATATTAACATTACATGACTCTATATGAATGTTTTTATTTCACAATTTTATGTATTTTGTCTGTAAAATTAATTCCAATTCCTAATATGGAACTCTGCTCCAAATTCATCCCTATAACCGCAAACCTCATGAGCTTCATTTGACTGGAGCCGAACACTATGGGTGGCATAACACTCCCTTAGTCCACTTCTTTATTCAGTCTGTGTGTCTTAAACATGAAAGTAACAATACCAAAAATATCAAAAATGACTGGTTTAAGAGTAAATAGAAGTAATATTATTATACATTCCTGTATTTGATAGTTATTAAAAATACTTGTGCCACCATAGTCTCAAAATATTATTAGAAACACTGAAATGGGCAAACAGACTGTGCGAGTTCCCCTAGGGTCATGTTATTGTGCATCGCCAGTTGGGTAAGACAACCAGGCTATAGAACTATCTCCACCAGAAAGCAGTAAGATTTCAGGCCAAAAACTTGAAAAACATTTTGTGTGCAATGATTTTCTGGGCTCTCTGGGACTCATTGGACTGGTTGTCAAGAAGCCCCCTGCGTTGTGAGTGTCCCATAGCTTTATAATGGGCCTCTCCCCCTCAAAAAAATAAACAAGAACAGACATGCTGCTCAAAAAATTCAACGCTATTCAACAGCACTGACTGTTATCTAAGTATAAGCCACATCACTTCACTCATTAAACATGTATTAGTAAAGATGTTACTGCATAATACTTACTACAGCAAGTTTTAATGGGATTTTGAAAGAAACTTTGCCGCTTCATGAAAAGCAAGAAATTACCTCTGATTACTTATGAAATCAGTAACAAACATCATGTTCTTTCTAGCTGTCAGGAAAGATTTTGTATTTGCCCATTAAAGTCATTGTGCAAATAATAAGTATGCTTCATTTGAAAACAGCCAGACCTTTCAACTTGAGGGTAAAGTGGGTCTAAAAGCCTGTTCCAGGAATTCATTAAAATATATGACCAACTGATTACAACATCTCTATACTGCTGGTTTGGTTGTTTATACAATAAGATTAAATTATGTAAGAAACAGCATTAATAGTAGTAGTTGCAGTAGTAGTAGTAGTAGCAGCAGTAGTAATAATAGTAGCAGTAGCAGTAACAGTAGTAGTAGTAGCAGCAGTAGTAGAAAAAGCAGTAGCAGCAGTAATAGTAGTAGTAGTAGTAGTAGTAGTAGAAGTAGTAGTAGTAGTAGTAGTAGTAGCAGCACTGGAGTGTCATAATATTACATGAATACATGTTTACACTGACTAGTTTAGTTTTACATAATTTAACATCCAAATTATTGGACACAGAGGAAAATTAAACTGGTGTCTTTTACATGCCAGCTGAGGTTTATGAAGTATGCTATGAATCCGTCATTGAGGTAATTTACAACTCTGCAGGGTTCACTTTCGTTCAGGGAAGAAAAACAAATGGCAGCCATGCATGGATGAGCAGATCTGTGGAGACATGGCTACCGTACCTACTGAAGCACCCAGCCACCATCTGCTGCCGACAAGAGCCTGTGTTCTCCTTTCCGATAAGTGACAGCTCCTGGAGAAGAACAGACTCTTCCATAGGGATATATGCAAAGTACAGAGCACTCAAAGAGAGACAATCAGGCCCCACAAGAGAACTGTCACATTATTATGATAAACACAGAAGGATTTCCTCAAGTAGGCAATAATTCACTACCGTACAGTTACTTTATGCTGTTTAGTATGGTAAAATGAAGCACGTAGCATTCAGAGTTTCATCGTAATTTTACAGAAGTAGTTCAAAGGGCCAGCTGCAGATATGCACATACCATGTCCTGTAACCATGTAAAATAAAAGTAGATCTGAAGGCAATGCTGAAACTGAAGGTGGTGCTGTGGTTAGTGCTTCAGCCTCACAGAGGGTCCAGAGGCTTTTCTGTAGAGTGTAGAGTTTGCATGTTCTACCTGTGTCTGTGAATAAAACATGTACAACAGGCTCCACTCCAGGGCCAGGACTCATGAAAAGGTGCCTTTTAATCTCAGTTGGACTTTCCTGGTTATACAAAGGTCAATAGTAACAAAATGGAGTCATTTCTTTATCTTAAACAAAGCATTTAGATAAAGCATCTTGCATTTTACTCTCAATAGGAGAAAACAGTCAACAAAAATAACTAGTCACATTTAAGGCTGCATAAACTTTGTTTTTTGTTATGTCTCTATCAACCAACATCAGTTCTTATCTTAAACCCAATCCTATATTGGCATTTTTGCTCCACAACATTCATCACAATTGTACCTTTCCTTTTGACCTTTTCATGAAAACGTCAATATCCAACTTTTACATTTCCTGTTATCTCAACACACTAGCAAACAAACCAAACCCACAAATGCATAGACCTGTCACAATAATCATTTTTGACGTATGATGTATTGCTATAGAGAAATATCAAGATAAAAAATAATATTGAAACTACTTAATACCACAGACACATTAACCCCAAAGCAGGATTATCCCAGGGTTTTTTCTAAAGTGAACCTAAGTGAAAGAAAATATAGCTAACAATAGATTACTGGCACAATTAAACACTTAAGTAGTTCATTCTAGTATAAAGTGTCATCTATAATAATGTATTACTGTAGCCACAGCTGCCATGAGGCAGACTGACAGAAGCAAAGCTGCCAATCTACGCCAACGGTCCCTCCGACCATCACCATCACTCACACGCATGCACGCACACACCACTTTCACACTGGGCAATGTAGGTGAAGTGTCTTGGCTAAGGACACAATGAGCGCACTACTGTGGCACCTGATTTTCTCAGCTGTCTCCCATCCAAGTAGTAACCAGACCCAGCGTTGCTTAGCTTCCCAGGGTTGACGGTATCAGTCTTTGACAAACCAGTATGGCCATATGTTAATTAACCAACCGATTACAGCTCTAATGTGATCAGAGGCTTAATACAACAAAAAAAGAAAAGAAAAGTACACGCAACAATTACTGAGCCTGATTTTTTTTTTTTTATAAAATAATTATCATGACAGGACTACAAATGCATGCATATATGTGTTTTTGTGTTTTTTTATTTATTTTTATTGTCTTATCAAGGATTAAAATAGATTAAATATAGCTTCGTATTATTTTCTCATTGTATTTGTTTTATCTGTACTGTGCAGCACTTGTATTGTGCAGCTATATAAATAAAGTGGATTGGATTGAAAACATAATACTCTTCTTGGTATTATAAAATTACTGCTACACATCTTTCAAAAACCTGCTGGACATCACACTGCATCAGGTCAAGGCATATGCCAATAAAAAACCTGATTACTTTTTGATGAACAGCTTCTAAATGAGCAGTAGCCGCACATCGCACAAACATTAATCTAGTTGGGCTATGCTGAACTAATATAGCCCCAGATATAAACTCACTGGCAATATTTATAACAGTTTGGTGAGAGATTTTTATGTTGTTAAAAACCACTGGTCTATTAAAAATGCCCTGTTTGTTTTTTGCATTTCTGAAGCAACTTTATACCTCTGAGCTTGGATAAGTTGTTTGGTAATCTAATCACTTAAAAAATCCAATCAAAACAAGAAACCACCATGGATCAGCCTTCATGTAGTATGAAGAAAGTGCTCAAATTTCCACCAAAACATGAGTGCAGTGCATCATGGGAGCATAGCTGCGTTTATGAAATTACAGGGTATAAAAGTGAGAGATATGAAAAGAAAACACATTTTTATGGAGATGTAAAGCGTCCACAGTAAAAAGCTGCTGAAATAACACATTTTACATTTGCTCCCCTGCAGAGACCTGTCGCAACTCAAATCCCTCCAGACCACAAGCTTCATATGTGGAGAGGGAACGAAAGAGACAGAGGGAGAGATAGAGAGGAGAGATAGAGGGAGAGAGACAGAGGGAGAGACAGAGACAGAGGGAGAGAGAAAAACAGGCAGAGAGAGACAGAGGGAGAAAATGAAAGCGAGATAGAGGTAGGAAAGAGAGAGATTGGAGGGGGGGGGGACAAGTGGACTCAAGTGGGAGCTCTATGCCCACAACAACTGTCAGACTGCTGGCACTAAACATGACATGCATCTTCCTCCTGCTGCTTTAACTTGCTGCAGTGGTTTTGCCATAAAACTGAATTGGGAAAAAGGTAGTAGTGAAGAATGTGGCAAAATAAAGCTTCAATTTTTTAAACCAGAGGGCAGAGGCAAGATTTATCCTTTTGGTGCCTAGGTGAGCCTTTAAGGAATTGCAAAAACTAGGTCAACTGTACAGCCTACAATCTCAATGAACAACAACACAACAAGGTTTTTATTGCTTTATAAATTAAAGCAAGATTCAAATGCAGGTATAACAATGTTCATATTTGGAACTGACCCACAAAGAGCCTTGAATTCAACTGCAGTTATCCTGTAGTTAAGGGTGAGAAGTCTGAATTCATTGCGTCTAACAACAACAACAACAACAAAAGCACATTACTATGAAAAGACATCTTAAATTGTGAGTTACTACCCTTGACCATCTCTCACAGCGGTTCAAAAATTCATTGTAGTTTCCAAATGCATGTTTCAATACTTAAAAAATAACACAACAAAACAATAGCAATGCAAAATGTCTATTGATCACTTAGTATTATAGCCCCTATTAATGTAATTAAAGTATTTTGTCATATTAAAAGATCAAAGTGCAGTCTCACCTGAGCCTGTCTTCCTCCTTCTTCCTCAGTTTCATGTCACGCTGGACCACTCTGAGGACATGTTCGGCCTCGTCGTCCGTGAGCCCGGACAGGTCCAGCTTGCGGCCCATGGCTCCGGGACACGCCACTGCTGCAGCTCCAGGGACGTCAGGAGCAGAAGGGTCCAGAGGGGGGCACCGCTCTGGGGGCCGAGGCTGGGAGCACCCTGCAAATGGAACAATGATACAAATGACCAGGCCCATCAACAGAAATTAGGGGGCTGGGGCCTTATATGGGCCCCCCTCTAATATAAATGAATAATGCATCTTTGTGATCGTATGTCTATGTACTAAATCTCAAGTAAAACAAAAAGCTATAGCTACAGGTTAGGAATATACTGATTCCATTGTATTTAAATGTATAAATATTTTACATTAATTCTGTTTAGTGACTCAATGACAAATTACTATATACCCTAATACTGTGATTTGAGACCTGGGATTACAGTTCACTTCTTGCATCCCTTTATCAGTGCAAGCTTTTATGTGATAACATAAAAACACTATGCAGTGTGGAGAAACAAAGGTATACCAGGACTTCAGTCAACAAAGACTTTTCCTTGAGCGGGTCAGCTTTATTTGAAAAGGAGGTCATCTGGTCTGGTATGTGCCCTGTGGTTTAATATACTTGGCAAAGAACCAGATAAGAAACACACTTTTAAGAAGCCCATTTTCCCTTATTGACAGTATTTAGCCTCTAAGGTTTAACAATCATATAGAATATGTTGGCTGTGGGAATCATAAACTTTTTTTGGTGCCAGCATTTAAATGATAAGGGCATACAGGGAGTAGGTTGGGATTACGTTAGAGATATCTAATGTACCATTTGAATGAAGATTGCATTCTTTTATGGTGTTTGTGTATTCTGTGTTTTGTATGTCTCTGGGACTGCTAATAGAAATTAGTTCAGAGAGCTACAGACCGGTACAAAGCATCTCTCCAATGTTTAAGGCTCCTGTACATGCTCCCTGTAAAATAAACTAAATAAACTAAACTAAATACTGGTATCTATATTATATGGTCATTACCCAAAGGATTTGGTAGTAGTAATAATAGCAAATACAAAGACTCACATTAGTTGGCTCAACACAAATCTAACAGTGTGGAGTTGCCAGACAGAGGCTGAGAGGTGGGTCTAGTTCAAAGCTATGTGTTGACTTGAGGAGGAGAGATAAATGAACAGGGCGATAGATGGACAGGAGTGGGTCCATTAACTGCAGTCTCTAAACCAGATGGGAGTGCACTGCAGAGAGAGTGATGATGACTCAGGGCCACACAATTATGTCCCGGATATTACTGGACCAATAGCTCCATCGACAAAGCGCTCTCTTTTGTGTGGAGCATCACTCAACCCAAACTTCTGCTGTCTCCTATCCTATCACAAATGGTGTTTTTCAGACTTGAACATTTGAGAGTTTTCAACTCTTTGGATTAGTTTTGTGAAATTTTATGATCATATAGATTGTTTTAACTACAACATGACACCTTTGGTGATGTTTTGAACATGGATGCTTTCTTTGGCTGGCTGTTGCAAGAGAAAGTGATTATGAAGTGGTAAATCAAGTTTTACACTGTCAGAGCAATAAAGTCAGGAAGACATTGTCTTTGAATAGAGCAGACTTGAACAAAATCACATTTCGCTCACAAACATCTGCGGTACACCACATGTGGACTGACATGTGGCAGCAGATCGCCCACACATTTTAAGCCCAACAATATGGCCACCAGCCTCTGCCAATCTCTGAGTCTGCTCTCAATATAAACCTGCAGAGTGACACTGCTGTGCTGGGTGGGTGGTCCTCTCCACACTTTTAACCTGATGATACATAACTCAGAAAATACATAAATAACAATGGTTATTTAAAGAAAACTGTCTCTGTGCAAAGCAATTTCAAAGTATTTCTTCAGTGACTTGATCAAAAACTTTTGACTTTTAGTGATCCAAACTCATAACAGTGACAAAATCCTTAAAAACTTTCTTGAATGTCAGGGACCACAATAAAGATAAAACTTCAAAAGGGCCAAAACTGACCTTTCCCAAAACTGTATCCAAATGCTAATCGCTTTTTTTTTCAGCTGCAATGGAAATCTTGCAATGTAAAAAAAAAAAATAAAAATGTAAACAAAAACTCCAAACTTGGTTATTGCTTATATAATAGTAAATCATATAAAAAGTAATAATTTGATCCTATATGTTATTATTATCATTATCCTTATTATCATCATTATCATTATTATCATCATCATCATTATCATCATTATTATCATTATTATCAATATTATCAATATTATCATTATTATTATTAAGTACCATAGACATTGACAATAGGTTGGCATGTTTTCTTATAATGAAAGATTGTCTTGGCTCACTAGACCTGATCTGTGCAGTCCTCCGAATGTATGTTGGAGATTAATGCACCATTACTCTACAGCCACAAGGGAAGGCAATTATTCAGGCCTGCTTTTTATAGTGAGTGGTGTCAAGGACGGGACTGGAGCATCATTCATGTCTGGGAGAGAGACTGCCTTTGCACTTTGGTGATACAGACCATGCACATCAACCACTCAGATATTTTATTACTAACCTCAATGGTCGGAAAAGGACACAATTCCCATATCAAGATCAACGTTATCTAACATCACTGAAAAATCCCTATAGAAAAAGATATGTACTGTACCATTTGGTGCTTGGCTGATTTCCTATCAACAATGGCTTTGAGCTAAACCACATTTGATGGTATAATGTAAGGGTGTGACATTCGATCAAAGAGGTCAAAGACAGTATATATCTTTATGTACCTACTGAAGGCTACCCCATGGATGGTGCTTTCATATGACTGGAGGTCTGATAGTTATGCAGGAATGTCTAAGACTGTCACAATACCAAATTTCAAAGTGTGATATATTACTCAAGAAAATATAATTACTATATTGTTAAAAAAAAAATCATAAGTTGTCATAAATAAATAGCCAAATTAAACACTATAGTACTTAGTTTGCATGTGTAATGAGTCAAAGAAGTTATTAATTCAACCTCTTATGACTTAAATCTTATCGTATATATATATATAACAAAAAAAGTATAATTTCCCAATAGTGCAAACAAAAACATGATGAATATTCAAAAGAAGAAATATGGTACGAGCTTTCACATACTGAATGATAAGCCAATATAGTATTTCTCTTGACACGCCTTTATATTGATGAAGAAAATATAGACTATAAACAATAATACTGAAACTTATGGATTCCACTGACACAATGACCTTAAAGTAGAATTATCCCTAAAAAACTCTAAATGTAAAATATGGTTAAAAACACAAACAAGAAATAAATATCAGAATGAAACAGTTCATTAGTTAGTCTGTATCTGTAATGAGTCATAGAGGTTATTTATTCATACTTCTACAGCTCAAATCTTGTTTAATAAAAGAGAAAACAAAAAACAAAAACAAAAATTGTACCCTCAGAAATGTTTGTTCATCTAACATATACTGAGCGATAAGATGATATAGTCATGATCGTGACCTAGCAATGACCTCACTCTAGTTTTTTATTAGTCTAAGCTTTTTTTTTGTTTGGTGCATTATTTATTTACTCCTCGGTCAAACATGATGGCTGCCAATTCTGCAAGCACATCCAAGGTGAAAAAGTCTGTTGCCAAAGGAGGACAGCAACATGTGCGCCCAGAAAATATGTTAATGCAGTAGATTTGTTGCTGCATTATTATTTGATTTTCATTTTCTCTTCTCTTCTACATTAAGCATTTTAAGTGACTAAGAACTCATTGCTCTTTTTGTATCCATTTTGAAGAAGGTACAAAAAAGTATGGATATAGAAGACTGTTGTTCACACAGTTCAAAAAAAGTCACAAATTGTCACACAAGTACTGCATACACAAGAAAGAAAGAGCTGTTGAAGCTTTTCCACAACATGCAGTAGGAATGAAACATAAACCAAAATATTGCAATATCACTTTGTCAGAAGTCTCGGGAATAATGCCGTGGGCCATCACAACATATATCAAATTACAAGCCTTTTTGTTCAGAAACATAGGGAACTACATAGACCATGATCCTTTGCTTTGTTTCAGTGCAGACTACATGAAGAAAGAACAGTTATTAGGCACTTTAGCAATCAAGCAATCTTAGTTCTTTGGATTATGGCAGAACCAAAAACTTGTCAAGGTATTTTAAAAGGAAAAAGTAGCAATAAATACGTAACTGTGAGATGCATTTTCTAAAAAAAACAATGTACCAAGGGATTAGGATATCGTTACATCAATAATATGCAGTCATTTTTTTATTATTATTTTTAAACTCATATTCAAAGCAAATCCATTAATGTCTATAAGACCTACCACGTCTGTCTGAGTCAAATATGGTTTGATATCACCTATGTGTTCGGCCTGTAGATGTTGGTTTGTAGAGAAGCACTGAAGCATAAACTGGAAGTCAAAATGGAAACTGGTCACACAGCCAATGGACAAATCCAGGAGAAAGAAAAACACTCCAACTGAACACACAATATCCGAAAACATGACTTTTCCCAAACATGTCCCAACAGAAACATTACCAAACTGCTGTCCTTGCACCACTGTCAATCAAACAGCAGTAAAAGCTTGAATCAGACAGTCCCCCTTCTGTCCATTTCCACAGGACAAGAAACAAATTGGAGAACTCATTGGACAGGTGCTAAATTAACTGCTTTAGAGGTCTGCATTGGATCATCTGGAGGGACAGAGGCCAGGGAGGTGAAAAGCGTCACATTATTTGAACTGGGGCAAAGGCACTGAGATGACTTTATGCATTTGAAGATAGAAATGGGATTTTATTATGTCCAACCTTGAATGGGAGGACAGACTATCCTGTGAATATGAGCTGGCCTTTCTTTGACATTTATCTCAGTCCAAGTAGTGACGAAGGATATTTTTAAAGACGTTTTCAGTATGCTCAGTATTAATTATAGCGCTAATTTTTAATATCAAAGGACTCATTTTCAAATAGGCGAGTCATGATAATTACAATATAGATTTATCATTCAATATATGATAGCTGGAACATTTTTTTTTGGGGGGGGGCTCAATATTTAAAATGGGGAAACTTTAGCCATTTTTCTGTATTTGATAAGATTTGAGCTGGCGAGGATAGAATACATAACTTTGGCT